TCGGCCCACACAAAGCCACTCGCACCCAACCCGCTGGTCGAGCCGACCCAACCGGCCCTCCCACACACACACCCACCCCCACACCCCACCCACCCACCCCCCCCCCCCCCCCCCCCCCCACCCCCCCCCTCCCCACCCCACCCCACCCGCAGGGCCCCTCCAGCGAGGCGCTGCACCTGGGCCACCTGGTGCCCTTCATGTTCACCAAGTGGCTGCAGGACGCGTTCAGGGTGCCCCTCGTCATCCAGCTGACAGACGACGAGAAGTTCCTGTGGAGGTGGGTGGGGGTGGGGTGGGGGGGTGGGGGGTTGTTAGAGGGGAGGGCAGGGCAGCTGGTGGGTGGTGAGTGTGTGTGTGTGTGTGTGTGTCAGGGCTGCCAGTGCTGGCCCGACCATCGGCTCCGCTGCCTCCTCCCCTTCCCCTACACACACATCCGTGTCCCGCCCTGCTCCCCCGCGCCACCCACCACCACCGCCGCCGCCACCCGTCTCCCCTCCTTCCCCGCCGCAGGGGCCTGTCTGTGGAGGAGTCGCGGCGTCTGGCCCGTGAGAACTGCAAGGACATCATCGCCTGCGGCTTTGACGTCGCCCGCACCTTTGTCTTCGCCGACTTTGAGTACGTGGGGGGCGCCTTCTACCGCAACATCGCGCGCATCCAGCGGTGAGCGATGTGTTTTCAATTACTGGCCGAGGAATGCTTGCTACAGGACGGCCACGCCAGGGGTCGTCGTCGGCGGCGGCTCTGCGGTGCTGCGGTTCGCGGCCAGGTCTTGGCTGCGCCAGGGGAGCCCTTCCTGCCCGCCCGCCGCCCTCAGCCCCCTCGCTGCCAGCGCTCGGCGCCGAGCCTCCTCTGCACCGCCGCCGTTCCCGTCCCCGCTCCCCCACGCAGGTGCGTGCCCATGAACCAGGTGCGCGGCATCTTTGGCTTCTCCACAGACGACAACATCGGCAAGATCGCATTCCCCGCGATACAGGTGTGGTACCAGGGGGGTGTATCAGCATGCATGTGCCGCCTGCTGCCGCGGTACCACTCCACGCCACGCTGCGCACTGCACGAAACAAAAAACATGGATGTTTCATGTCCCGTAGCCTTAGCACCTCCCCCCCTCTGCTTCCTCCCTGCACCCCCCGCCGCCGCAGGCCGCCCCCGCCTTCCCAGACTCGTTCCCCCACATGTTTGGGGAGCGCAAGGACGTGCGGTGAGCCCTGAGCCGCCCTTCCCTGCCGGGCCCGAGGCGGGGAGGTGGATGGGGAGGCTGCTGCGCATGCGTGCCGCTTCCGCCTGGCCACCAGCCAGCCAGGCAGACGGCGCGGGCGCCGCGGGTGGCTGCCGCCTCCCCCTCCGCCTCCCGCCCTGCCTGGCCCTTGCCCCTCGCTCCGCCTCCCGCCAGCCGCCGCCTGCCCGGCCCTCCCTCCGCCTGCACGGCCCCTCTTATCTCCCGCCCTGCGTGCCCCCCGCCGCCGCTGCTGCTGCTTTGTGTTGGTCGTGGCCTGCCGCTGTTTCTGCCCTCCCCTCCCTCCAAACACCCCACCCCCATCTGCCTGCCCCCCCGTAGCTGCCTCATCCCCTGCGCCATTGACCAGGACCCGTACTTCAGAATGACCCGCGACTGCGCCCCCCGCCTGGGACACCTCAAGACCGCACTCATCGAGTCGCGCTTCTTCCCCGCGCTGCAGGTGGGGGTGAGGGTGGGGGTGGGTGGGTGGGGGCGTGGGGGCCTGAGGGTGTGGGCGTGTGAGGGGTGGGGGGAGGAGAGGGGAGTGGGTGGGTGGATGTGGAGACTGGCAGGGGGCGCCGCCATTCAGTGGCGCGAGGGGGGCGAGATGCGCGGCCTGAGCAGGGCAGAGCAGGACATGCAGCGCGCGTGGGCCCACCCGCCCGCGCCTGCCGCCTGCCGCCTGCCGCGGTGCAGGGCGAGAGCGGCAAGATGAGCGCGAGCGACCAGAGCAGCGCCATCTTTGTCAGGTGGGGCGCGGCCTGTGGGGCGGGGGCGCCGGGGAAGGCCACCCGTGGCACGGCACCCCTGGCCGCCGCCTCCTTTGCACTCCCTCGCCCTCCTCCCTTGTTCGCCCTCCCGCTGCCCTTCCACCTGCCGCCCGCTCGCGCCTCGCCTCCCTGCCTCTGCACTCCCCCGCCCTCCTCTCTTGTTTACCCTCCTGCTGCCCTTCCACCTAGTTTTCCTGTCCGCCGCCCCCCGCCTCCCTGCCCGCCGCAGCGACACGCCCAAGCAGATCCGCAGCAAGGTGAACAAGTATGCGTTCAGCGGCGGCGGCGACACGGTGGAGGAGCACCGAGAGAAGGGTGAGGCCGCGGGCTGGGGTGGCTGCTGCGGCTGCTGCTGCTGTTGCTGTGGCGGCGTCGGCTGTGGTGGCAGGTTGCCAGGCTGCCCCCGTGACTCGCTGCCCCCCCGATGGGCTGCGTGGGCCTCCCTGCCCCCCTGCCCTTGCTGGAGCCTTGCTTACCCCTCCGCCCAGCCCTCACTCCTTCTTGCCCTCCCTCCACACACACACCACACACACACACACACGTGTCCATGCCCGCAGGCGCCAACCTGGACGTGGATGTAAGCTGGAAGTGGCTCAACTTCTTCCTCGAGGACGACGCACGCCTGGCGCAGGTGCTGGCGCATGCTGATGAGCGCGTGGGAACCTGTTGTGGGCCCAGGCAGGCGGCGGCGGCCACTTTTCCCTTCCACCCCGCTTTACCAGCCACCCCTGCCCTCCACCCTTCCCCTTGCCCGCTACCCGCCCCCAGATTGGCGAGGAGTATGGCAGCGGGCGCATGCTGACGGGCGACGTCAAGGCGGAGCTGGTGGGCGTGCTGACGGAGATGGTTGAGCGGCACAAGGCGGCGCGGGCGGCGGTGACGGATGAGATCGTGGATGCCTTCATGGCGGTGCGCCCCATGCCCAACCTGTGGGGCTGAGGCGGAGGCCGCGCGCCCAGCTGGCGCGCTGTGGAGGAGAGCGGCGGGAGCGTGCGCGGCGGCGGCGGGGCAGAGAGGCGTGGCCTGCAAATGGGCGCGCGCGTCGCCGCTGCCGGGCCCAGAGGCGTGTAATGTGCCGGAAACCGAACCCACAGGCTGTAGGGCTGGGGATTGATCCTGTGATGCTGGGGTCAAACTATACCCAGCTAACGTGCCGCCCGCTGACCAACAGGACTGAGCCATGAGCAGACATGCCGATGCTCGCAGCGCGTTATCGTCCCTGCCAGCCATTCTGCATTCATCGACCGCACTGGGCAGCCTTGAGGGCCGTTGCCTGCCGGGAACAGCACACATAGGTGTCAGTGTGCCGCCGCCGGGCTCCCATCGGCCCTCTGCGAGCTGGCTTGCTGCCGATCAACCATGGATCTGCCGAAATCAGCGGTGCAGAGCCTCCCACCCAACCCATTCTATTCCTCGCCTTTCTTCAGCCCTCGCCCTCCTCTGTGCGCGCCGCGGCGGCCCCCAGCAGACGCGATCGCCCCCAGAGGTGGCAGACCACGCTAGGGGGGAGCGCAGCGCACGATGTTGCGCCGGGCAGGGCAAGCGCTGCTTCGGCAGCACGTCTCCGTGGCGGAGAGCCTCGCCGTGGCCTCGCAGCAGGCACAGGGGTGAGTGGGGCGCGCCAGGGCCCTACGGTTGCGCCGTGCGGCGGGTCCCCAGCCAGGGCGGCCGGGGCGCCACCGACCCTCGCCCCCACTGACGCCTGCCCGCACTTGCGCCGCTGCAGGGTTGTGCGTGAGGCTGTGGATGGCAGCTCGCGCGGCGTGTCCACGCTCGCAGGTACAGCTGTCCCCAACCCCAGCCCCAGCCAGCCCGCGGGCCGGCCGCGGGGCCGCTCCGCCGCGCCGCGGCACCCGCTCCCATGCCGCCGGCGCACGCCCACCCGTCCCCCGCGTGCCGCCGCCTCCCTCGCCCCTCCCCGCAGTCAAGCAGCGCATGAAGTCTGTGGCCAACATCCAGAAGATCACCAAGGCGATGAAGATGGTGGCGGCCAGCAAGATGCGGTCGGCGCAGGTGGGTGTGTGGGGGGGTGGGGGGGGGGCTCCTGCTCGCGCTCGTGTGCCGGGTCGTGCTGCGCTCATGTGCTGCGGGGCGGCGGCACGGGTGCCGGGTGGTGCTGCCCTCGTGTGCTGCCGTACCTGGCAGGACAGCGGACGAGGCAGGGAGCCTGGGGCCTGTCGTTTTGTGTTATTTTCCATTTCCAGGGAGTGGTAGCCCTGCGCGGCGGCAGGTGCTGCTGCGAGGCAGGGTTTGCAGGCGCCGCCGCGCCGATGTGCCGTCGCCCACCCCGCCGCGCGTGCGCCTGCCGCCCCCCCGCGCCGCGCCGCGCGCAGGCCAGCACCGAGGGTTCCCGCGGCATCGTGCAACCCTTCCTGCGCATGCTGGGAGACCTGCCCGCGGCGGAGGGCGCCCGCGCCGTCTTTGTGCCCATCACTTCTGACAAAGGCCTGTGCGGCGGCATCAACACCACCGTGTGCAAGTGAGCGGCGGCGGCGGCGGAGCAGGGATGTGGCTGTGTGTGGCTGTGTGGGGGGCTGTGTGGGGCTGTGCGTGGAGGCGGGCACGGCGCATGGCAGACAGAACAGGGGCGGCGCGGCAGCGATGGAGGAGCGGCCCGTCTGCCACGGCGGCGGCGGCAGCGCCCTCACCCTCCCTTTTGTGTCCTGCGCGGCCGCTGCGCCCCGCGCCGCGCCCCTCCCGCACCTGCCGCTGCGCCGTGCCAACCCTGCCATGCCGACGCTGCCGTGCCGACCCTGCTGTACCAACCCTGCTGTACCGCCTCCCGTACCGCAGGTACACCCGCGCCACCATCAAGGCGGTGGCCGACGGCCCTGTGGCCAGCGAGGGCGGCGAGCCCAATGAGGCTCTGCTGGTGGTGATGGGCGAGAAGGGGCGCTCCCAGCTGCAGCGCGACCAGCGCAACAGCATCTATGCCACGGTGGCAGGTGGGGCTGCTGCCGCTGCAACGCCTGCTGCTGCTGTGCCTGCCGCTGCCGCGCCTGCCGCTGCCGCGCCTGCTGCCGCCGCCGCCGCTGCGGTGGCGCGCAGCCAGCCCCCACCGGAGAGCAGGCGCCTGCATCGCATCCCAGGGGCGGCTGCTCGCTGGTTGGGGCGGGTTGGCGCGGGGCGCGGCGCCGGCCCTTTGCTCACCGCTTACCCTGCCTGCCTGCCTTTGCTCCCCTGCTTTCCTCCCCTGCTTTCCTCCCCTCCTTTCCTCAGACACCAACAAGGTGAAGGTGACCTTCCCAGAGGCGTCCGCCATTGCCGAGGAGGTGAGCGAGGCCCCCCAGGCGGCGCGCGCCGGCGCAGCGCAGCCGGCCTGCCGCGGCGCCCCTCACAACACGCCGCCACAAACACACACACCACACCGCACGCTCAGATGTCCACGCGCACACTCTCTCCCCAGCCCTGCTCCCACCCCCTCCGCCGTTCACACACACACACACACACACACTCGCACTCAACACCCTGCTGCGCCTCTTCCCCTCCCACACCCACCCCGCCGCCCTCGCAGCTGCTCAAGACTGAGTACGACACCGCCCGCATCCTGTACAACCGCTTTGTGTCGGCCATCGCGCAGAAGCCCACCATCGCCACCGTGCTGTCCCCAGACGTGAGGCGGGCGGGCGGGGCTGGCTGGCTGGGGGGGTCTCCGATGCGGGGCTGTTGGCTGGGGCTGGGGCTGTGGAGCTGGGCTGGGCAGTAGCCGGGCTGGGGCTGGGCTGTGGCTGCGCTGTGGCCATTGTTGGGCTCAAGCGTGGAGGGGACTGCACAGCACGCACACTCTCTCTCTCTCTCTCTCTCGGGACGAGGGGACCTGGTGATCC